GAGCAGTTGGAGAAATTTTCCAGTCGACCTAACATCATGATCATGGGCGACTTCAACGCACCAGGAACAAACTGGAATACCCTCCAAGCGTCAGGTCCAAAATCGGCATTCGATTACCGCCTGTTGAGCAAGACATTAAATGCGTGCCTCACACAACATGCAATGTTCCCAACGAGAACACGTGAAGGACAAAGGGCAAACTGCCTGGATCTGGTCTTTACGAAAACACCAGACAGCGTAGACGAGATCGCCTCCATGCCGCCCCTTGGCCGAAGTGACCACGTAGTGCTTATGTGGGATTATTCGTTATTCTCCATTTCACACACTCCAGACCACAAAAGACGTAATGTTTGGCGGGGCGATTTCAATCAGATGAGGGCAGACTTATCCGGTCTTGACTGGGGCTCTTTGTTTACGGGAAGTGCCAACGATGACTGGGAGCTGTTCAAGAATGTCCTTCTGCAACTCATCAACAACCACTGCCCACTGACTAGTGTAAGACTGAACAAACGCCCTGGGTGGCTAAAAGCAACCTCAAAAAAGAAATCAACAGGAAGCACAAATTGTGGAGAAAATACTGCGTCACTAGACAAGCTGAATGCTTCAACACCTACAAGACACAGAGGAACAAACTGAGGAAGCTGATAATTCAGACGCGGCGGGAATTCGAGAAGAACTTGCTACAAAAAGCAACGCAGAACCCAAAATTGCTCTACAGCTACCTCCGCCGAACTACAAGGAACAGGCATCAAATCCCCTTGATAAAGACAACTGATGGCGTTGAGATCGCTGATAGTAGGGATAAAGCTGCGTATTTTCACGGTTTTTCCAATCAGTCTATACAAACGAGGCAAGGTTCCTTCCTCCCTCCACAGAAGAACTGCCGACTCCAAGCGTCAGTGATATACTCTTCTCAGAAGGCATTGTCCGAAGAGAATTAGAGGCATTGAACGAATCGAAGTCGCCAGGACCAGACGAGATTCCATCCAAGCTTCTGAAGGAACTTGCCCGTGAGCTCTCTGTGCCTTTGTCGATGCTCTTTCAAACGTCATTTGACACTGGAACACTTCCTGTCGATTGGAAGTTGGCGCATATTACTCCGTTACACAAAGGAGGTAACAGGGCAGCGACGACAAATTACCGGCCCATAAGCTTGACATGCATTCTCTGCAAAGTTATGGAAAGGATCATAAAGTGTGAACTAATGCAATTCCTGGAAGTTCACGGCCTGCTATCGAAATGCCAACATGGGTTCCGAAAAGGAAGATCCTGCACGACAAACCTGCTGCAATCTCTCCAGAGCTGGACCCAAGTTCTCGACGACAGGCACGCGGTCCACATAGCCTTCATCGACTTCCAGAAGGCTTTCGACACTGTGCCACACCAAAGGCTTTTACATAAGCTGAAAAAAATAGGGATCGGTGGCAACTTCCATAAATGGATCGAAAACTTCCTTGTGGGTCGACACCAGGTTGTGTGCGTCGGTCGGGGAAAATCAGATCCGGCTATGGTTGAAAGTGGTGTCCCCCAGGGTTCAGTACTGGGACCCATTTTGTTCCTAATCTACGTGGACGATGCCGCAAGAGATTTAGACTGTGAAGTAGCAATGTTTGCGGACGACATGAAGATATGGAGTGTAATTCGTGGTCCTGCCGATGAAGACAGACTGCAGATGAACCTGAATCGGTTGGAGGAGTGGTCAAACCGTTGGCTCCTGCGGTTCAACGTTGCCAAATGTAGCATACTTCGCCTAGGCAACACAGCCAGATCCGCCAGCACAAGAGGCTACTTTCTGGGCGGTGCAGCCCTACAAGAGGTCGAAGCCCAAAAGGACCTCGGTGTGCTTACGACGAGTTCCCTAAAACCATCCGCCCACTGTTCGAGGGTGGCAAAAAGCGCAATGTCCGTACTGTACGCCATCAAGCGTGCGCTTATGGACTTCGACGAAGAAGCCTTCTCTAAGACATTCGGAACATTCGTCCGGCCGCATTTAGAGTACGGCATACAAGCTTGGAGGCCGTGGGGTGTTGTGGATCAAAACTGCCTCGAAAGAGTCCAGAGGAGAGCCACGAAGATGGTCAGGGGTCAAAGCTCCTTTCCTTATGCGACCCGCCTAGTAAATCTGAACCTCTTTCCTTTGAGTTACAGGCAACTTCGCGGAGATCTCTTGCAAGCCTCCCGCATTGTAAAGGGGTTGGATTGCAGTCTGGCCTTCGAGGACTTTTTTGAATTTGCTACCACGACCAACCTCCGAGGTCACCCGTTAAAACTGCGCACTCAGCAGGCACGGCTGGATGTGCGGAAGTTCTCCTTCTCGGTTCGGGTGGTCAAACCGTGGAATGAGCTTCCCGCAGATGTTGTGATGTCACCATCTATACAAAGTTTTAAGAAGAATCTGGACATATTTATGTTCCGAAATGACCAAGAGCGATGAGAAGTCGAGCTCACCCCCTGTAACTCCTTCTCATTTTGTCCCACCATTATGGGCGTGTTCGAACTATTTCAGCCCAGAACATCTATCTGTACACCACACATTTTTACGTTGTAAATAGGGTACTCAAAGGCTTACGCCTATTTCCCTCAATAAACTGAACTGAACTGAACTGAACTGAACCTCGCCCAGCCTTTGAGTCAGTTCTTCCTCCGAGCTACCAACAACCAAAATATCGTCCAGACATGCAATAGTCCGGGGAACCTTTGTAAGCATCGTATCCATGATCTGCTGGAACACATTAGGCGCTGTTTTCACGCCGTAGTTTAGACGAGTGTGTTTGAAGAGACCCTTGTGCGTATTGATGGTCAAAAGTGATTTCCCGTCCACCTTGACGTAAGTTTTGTCGTTCCCGCGAAATAACGAACAACGGCTTACTGACCTCATGAACGGAGAGAGGTAAGGATGGCCAGTAAGTGAATAAAGTTAATATTCAAAATGTGCAACGACCTGACCAGAGAGCACGCAAGCGGCGCGAAGCTTACAAGCGGCGGAGTCTTCGTCACGTTAAAACAAATGCTACAGTAAAACAAACGTGACAAGATTGTCAAAGGTCAAGTAGTCAAGTACTTCAGCACAGTACCCCCTTCCGAGACCGGAGGGCGGCGTGAACGACGTCAGAGGACATACAGAGGTCTAGGAGAAATGAGTAACTAGACGATCGGGAAAGTGAACGTGACGTCCACTGCGGGTGATATATGCGGGAGGCACTGTTGGAGGCAGCTGAGTAGGTGTTGTAGTGGACAAGTTAAGGGTGGAGGAAGAGGCTGCAGTTTGATGCTGCGAACAAGACGGAAGAGGAAGTATACGGGACGGAGGGATAGGCGGGGAAAGTGGAAAGGGAGTGGGAGGAGGTATGGGGTCAGCACATGCTTGTCCTTGAGACACGTCCGGGGGCTCCTCTGCAGCAGCAGCCTTGACCCGGTCGATGCTGACTACGTCCTCTTTGTCACCTCGCAGGATCCGAAAGGTCTTGCTGTTACGTGCAAGCACACGGAACGGTCCTTCGTATGGTGATTCTAACGGCTTCCGCACACGATCACACCGAACGAACACATGGGTGCAGTTGGCTAAGCCTTTTTCAACATAAGGCTCGGTCGATGGAGCTCGAGGTGGAACCGGGGAAAGCGAGCGCATGAATTGTCGCAGACGATGCACAAAATTTTCGGGGGTCTCTTCGGCACCACGTGAGGTTTGGGTGACCATCTCACCAGGGAGTCGGAGGGTAGTGCCGAAAACCAATTCGGCTGCGCTGCAGTCCAAATCTGACATCAGTGCCGCACGAATGCCAAGAAGTGCAACGGGTACATTGTCTGACCAGTTTTCGGGATCTTCTGCGGCACGCAGTGCAGTTTTTAGCTGGTGGTGGAAACGCTCAACCATGCCGTTGGCAGCTGGGTGGTACGCCGTCGTCCAAATACGTGTGCAGCCAAGGAAGTTGAGGAGAGTTTGGAAAAGTGTGGACTCAATCTGCGCGCCTCGATCAGTCGTAATCATGGATGGCGCACCGAATATGGCGACCCAACGACTGACGAAGGCTTTCACAATGGTCTCAGCTTGCACATTCGGTAAAGGAATGGCTTCCGGCCAACGGGTATGGCGATCAACGCAGGTGAGAAGGTGAGTATAGCCATTGGATGGAGGTAAAGCACCTACGACATCTAAATGCACATGGTTGAACTGTGCATCGGGGCTCGGAAACGTGCCCGATGGAGACTTGTTGTGGCGTTGAACCTTGTTACGTTGACAGCAAAGGCACGATCGTGTCCAAGCTTTCACATCCTTGTTCAACCAAGGCCATACGAACCTTTCCGCGAGGAGCTTCTGTGAGGCTCGAATCCCAGGATGGGAGAGTCCGTGGAGAGTTTGAAAAACAGCTCGACGCATCGGGGCAGGCACATAAGGGCGATGAAAAGGAGTCGATACGTCACAAAGGATTGTGCCAGCGCCGGTGGTCAATGGGACGTCAACTAATTGAAGACTGTCAATAGACTCGTCGCCAGGGCATCCAACACATCGTTGTTCAGCCGCCATAGCACCAAGATCAATCCCGTGTGAGAGGCGAAACGCCGAGAGGGAAGGTCTGGACAGCATGTCGGCCACCGCATTCTTCGGGCCATCAATGTGACGGATGTCGGTGGTGAATTGCGAGATGTAATTCAAATGAGAAATCTCTCTCGGGTTATATTTGTCAGAATGGGATCGGATGGCAAATGTAAGTGGTTTGTGGTCTGTGAAAATTGTAAAGTCACGACCCTCAAGGAAGTGTCGGAAATGTTTTACGGCTAGGTAAAGGGCAAGAAGTTCACGGCCAAACGTGCTATATCTCGTCTCGGCAGGTGAAAGCTTCTTGGAGAAGAATGCCAACGGTCGTGTCGAGTCGTTGATATGTTGCTGGAGGACTGCTCCTACGGCAACGGTCGAAGCATCAACCATCAGGGATAATGGGGCTTCTGGAGCAGGATGAGTGAGCAAGGTAGATAGATAGATAGATAATTTTTATTTAAGACCCGTCGGGGTCCCATCAAAGCAAGTTAAAATAAATCTACATGCGAGTTTTAGACGAGGTAGGCCGAGTCTTTACAAAATGCAATTCATAGTTTCTGAATTAGAAGTCCATTGAGAAACATGATGATTGAGGGGTGAAAAAAAGACTCCTTACAAAAAGTTAAAAATGATTGGATTAATTTTACAGGAGAAAAAAAACCTCAATAAAAATAATGACATATCGATAATGCATATCGATATAAGCCGGCAGATCATGACATCGTGCTTGAGCTCCTAAAGAGCGATCTACAGGCTTTCGCCCAGTGGTGCCGCACATGGCGCCTTTCTCTTTCCTGGCATAAGTGCTCAGTCATGGTGGTTGGCGACGACCGCCAACCTCAACTAAGTATTGAAGGTCACGCAATAAATGTGCCAGGGGTAATAAAGGATTTGGGCGTATCATACTCCAAGAGTCTCAATCTCTCGGAGCACTGTGCCTTGATAGTCTCCAAAGCACGTAGAACGACCGGGTTTATCCTCCGAAATTTTAAAACTAGGGACATTAGAATGCGCCTTTTCAACATGTACGTTAGACCTGGTCTGGAATACTGTTCGTTTTCATTTAGCCTCATGCGTGCTACTGAGCGGAAGAAGATAGAATCCGTTCAACACTTTTTTACTAAGAGAATTTTAACCCCGGAACACCGACATTTGTCTTACCAAGAACGTTGCCGGCTTACAGGCCTCGATCCTTTATGGTTCCGTAGATTACAAAAGGGACTATTTTTGCTATTTAAACTCTTATATAATCACACATTTAACCCGCTCAACTCTTTAAGACATCATATCCACCCACGACGTAACAGTCACCGTGAGGTCTTCTTATTTCTGCCTCTGGCACGTACTGTTAAATATCGTCGGTTCTTTTCTGTAAATGCAATTGCTATTTGGAATAAACTACCCATGAGTGTGAAAACTCTGCAAAATTTTACTTTATTTAAGAGAACTATTACTCGATTTTTGCATTCAGCAAAGCTCCCACAAATTTTGGGTGCTGAATCTACTGATCGACTGTACCGTAGCGATGGCGTTTGTGGTCTCTGAACACTATGGCCGGTCTCACCAGCTGTTCCTCGACGCCTCTACTTTGACTATCCCCAACTTCATGAAAGGAATTTGACGTCCGATAATCTCCGATACCGTGCAACCTCCCCCCTTCTTGACGGCCGATATTCTACCACCGCCGACAGTTTTTTTCTCCTGAGCCCTCCAAACCACAAAAACCACCATCAACTATATTTTTATGCCTTAAGCTCAGGACTTTTTTTTTCACTGCCGGTCGGATTTGTCTTTAATCGCTTCCCTTGACAATGCCTGTAAACTGGCATTAAATTAAAAATTTATTTATTTATTTATATAAAAAAGCGAGCAGGACTGGCCTGTAGGTGGCGGTATATAACGGAATGTTGTCGCTCATCGTCAGGGTAGCAATAAGTGTCAGCCTTGATGGGTACGAATGTAAGTCAGACAGGACTGGCTTGCATATGGCATTGTATACGGGATTCACAATTGAGATCGTCTGGGCCGGATTGGTACGCCGCGTCAAAGAGGCCAGACGAGAGGAACCCAAATGCGATCAGTCACAACACGCTTCGAGCTCAGCCGAGCAGTGGGGAAGGGAGGTACGACCAAACTACTAGTAGAAGGCGAATACTGAGGGTTCCGCCGTGAGCGTCGACAGACCGCATGAGGTCGGAATGCGGGAGATGACATCAAAAACCGCGAAAATTGTCGCTATGGGGGGGAGTGATAGCAGTGGATTTAGAAACCAAATTAAAAACAGGGGTTTCTATTGATATAATTAAGAGTTACCACTTAATCTACCACTAAATCTCAGGAGGACCCTTCTCGAAGTCAAGAATCTGAGTGTTCGGGAATGAGACCGTTAACAGTGCCTTTATGCTTTTCGGTGTAAGATGGTTGCGTAATTTCGACTTGAATACCAATAACTTAGGCGATAATCTAATTTCAGTTGGAAGATTATTCCAAAGGAAGGCATATTTGGAAGCAAAGAAGAGGGAGCGCTTAGATGTAGTACAAAGAGGCGGCGGAATCACCATGCAGGAGTTACGCGTGGCATAAGACCGATCCCTCGGAGTGGGAGTGTCAATGGGCGGAAGACTGGAGCTAGAGTTGATGCGAAAAAGGAAGCAAAGGCCAGCTTCGAGTCTTCTAACCCACAAAAACTTAATGTTCGTCAGCTGACATCTCTGAGTATAAGAAATACTGGACGAAGCTTGAGAGAACAGTTTCCGGGTGAAAACCCTCTGAACATTTTTGATTTTATTACGGTCGCAGGCGTTCATTCAACCGAAGAAAGGACAGCAGTCTCCGAGGACTGGAAGAACAAACATTTGATAAAGTCTTAGCTTCATTTCCGGAAGAAAAAAATTATG